TACCTGGCTACCTCACTTCCCATATGACACTCCTACCTGGCTACCTCACTTCCCATATGACATTCCTACCTGGCTACCTCACTTCCCATATGACATTTCTACCTGGCTATCTCCAACTCATATTTTAAGCAAAATAAACCTAAAACAGACACAAATGGATTTTACGTTGTTATTATCACCAAAGCTTCAGTTCAAAAGACAAAGCATAAATATCAGCAAACTGGTCCTTCCAAAAGAACAAACTAGTACTGCATTACACCTGTTTTATATCAGGTTCAGAGAGATGATAAAGTTCAGGTCTCTTGGTTGAACTGCTGCAAAGACTGTGAACAAGAAAGGCCTTCGAACTTATGCAAATCAAAACCTATCCCTACTTCAACTGCAACAATAGTTCACAGACTGGCTTTCCCAATGACTCTTCAAATACACTCTTCAAATACCTTATGATTAAGGACCCAGTAGCCAAACAGGAAATTAAGAATCAAGACAGAGCTGATTATGGTACGTCTAGAATGAGAACCTGTGCTTTGTTTGAGCTAAATTATTTTGACAAAGTATTAACAACAGAATATCATGCTTACATGATAGATTAAAGTGATAAAGACCTGTGAATCACACTTTATGATTGTCACTGTAAAAAAAGTTTGCCTTGCACATCAATGCTATATGTTAAAAAAGTACTAACACTCAATGCTTGTTAAGGTTAAAAAAAATGATTTTTCTATAAACATTTGACTCATCTCTGAGGGCCAAAACTAGGATTTGGCCTTTATGTAATCTTTATATTATTAACATAATTGAATATAAAAAGCTGTTATTTTAAACATGAGAATCCTCTTATCTATATACTATATCACTGATGTTAAGAGGATTCTCTTAAAATAAGCCAGAAAAACAAGAGTGCCAATCAGTGATCTGTAAGGTTCACATGAATATTTTTACTTTTTAAGTGATTACTTGCAGCATCAAGGAACTGACTTCCTAGTGTGCTCCCTTGGGCTGACTGTGTGCCCCTCTCCCATCCTGTCCAGGTAAAGGGCAACAGGTGGTGGTACAGACCAACTTAACTAGTCATACTTCTTTGCCATCTGGAATATTCTTTCTCCTAGTGGAAAGCAGTTGTTCTAGTATTTGTTCTTCTGAAAAAATAATTCAAACACTTTGGGTCACATCTGAAATCACACCCATGATGACCTAGAGTCAATCTCCACTTAGATGGAGTGCAACAGGCATGTTTCTAAGAAATCCCTTCAAAACAACAGAGCAGAAAAACCCTCTTGTCTGCGTTTCTCACAAAGGCACAGGGGAGGGTAGAGCCACTGTGGAGACAACGATTTAGAGCTGGAAGACCACATGGTGGAGTGGTTAGGAGCAGGCTCTAAGCAAGACAGCCCGAGTTTAACCTAACTTGGGAACTTACCAGTCCTAAGCCCCTACACCTCAGCTCCTCATCTGTAGATGAGAGTAATGTAATACCACATCACTGTAAGAATCAGATATGTCAACATTTGAAAGGTACTCTGCATAGGACCACACATATATTAAGCAAGTACTATATATTTGATAAATTAAAAACTTTTGATAAAAAAAATCGTGTTAGAAAAATCATTATTAGTATTAAAAGACTAATGCTAAAGCAATTTACATTTTACAGAATATATCCTGAAAAGAGTATGTCTATCCATGGTTACCTTGCTTGACTTAAGGACTTTAATTTGTTCTTCAAAAACGGTGTCTTTATTCTTTTCAAGAAAGCCTTCACACTGGTACTCCACCTGAAATCACATGAAAAAATATCTCCTTAACTGACAACACTTTTGAATAGATGCTGCCATCATCAACAAAGCATATTTCTTTGCCCAGGCTCTATGACTAGCTCTCAGCAAATGGTATTATCAGTCTTTTCTAAGAGGTCAGTACCATTTCCAGGGGGATGTGTGGTAATTCACTATAGTAAACCTGAGAAGATATACACAAAGGCCTCTAAGTCCTACCACAGAGCTACCAGCACATCCATGCTTACTGCTGTACTATTCATAATAACTAAGAAGTGAAGCCAGTCTCAATGTTCATCAACAGATAAACAGATAAAGAAAATGTGGTACTTACATATACAATGAAATTTTATCCAGCCACAGTAAAAAATAAAATGTCATCAAATCATGACATCTGTAGGAAAACTGATACAACTGGAAATCATTATGTGACGTGAAATAAGCCAAACCGAGAAAGACAAATACTTCATGTCTTCCCTCATCTGTAGATCCTAGATTTCAGTGTGTGTGTGTGTGTGTGTGTGTTTCTATGCAGATATAAATATAGGTCATGAAACTAGAGAAGGGAACATAAGAGGAAAAAAGAGCTCCCAATTGGGAAGAAAGAAAAGGTAATGGAATAGATGTGACATGAAGGCAGAACTGTGGCTGTGGGATATGGAGTATGATCACAGGAGAAGGGCGGGGAACAGTGGAAAGGATGGAGGAGGGGATAAACAAGAACAAAGTATGTAAGAAAGAAGGATCAAGTGAAATCCATAGCACATACCAGGAATTTTAGCAACTATGAGGTAGAAGCAGGAATATTAGGAATTCAAGGTTGGCCTTAGCTACATAGTAAGTTTAAGACCAGCCTTAGCTACATAGATCTTGTCTCAAAATACAAAAATCCATTACCTTATACGTTAACTTAAAAAAAAACTAATAAAAATAGTAAAATAAAAGAGAAATATGTAACCTAGTAAAAGTCTACAATTACCAATTTCCTAGATAAGTGTGGCAGTGACTGCTGATAAACTGCTTTCAAAAATGATCAATCAATTCATGGGCAAGCAGGCTTGCAAGCTGCCCTCCCCCATGTTAAAGAGAGCCCCTTCCAGGCTGACCCAGCCTATCTTCTAAGCTAGTCCAGCATCTGCATCAAGCAGAAGTGTTACTCCTGTGCATCGGGACCCCTTTGGGGGTCAAAGTACCCTTCCACAGGGGTCACCTGAGACCACTGGAAAAGAGATACTTACAATACAATTGATAACAGTAGCAAAATTACAGTTATGAAGAAGTAACAAAAATAATTTTATGGTTGGGGGTCATCACAGCATGAGGAACTGTATTAAAGGGTCACAGCATTAGGAAGGTTGAGGACCATTACTCTGAAAAAAAGATTAAGTAGAGAGAATATGCGGAGAGGTGAGGAGCTGATGATGGACAGAGAGAAGATGGGCAAATATTGTATAATTTGGTAAACTGGGACTACTTGAGAACTAATTCCTTGTCTTCTAAAACCCCGCAATGCCAGCCATCTGCCACTCAAAGGGCTCTACATCCTGTACTCCCTAGGTCACCTTAGTTCTTCAGAGGTTTCAAGCTAGAACTAGACAACCAGAAGACCGTTCATAAAGAGGCCTCCAGAAATCTCACAACACAGCCTATCCTACAACTTCTTTGAAACATAAACTAGTCACCGGATCCCTGACTTGCTACGTGAACTATAGAACTTGTGAGAAACATAATACCATGCTGTTACAGAAGGTGACAAAAATCAGTCTCTGTTCTGAAGCCTGTGAGATCTTTAGAATTTTATAATTTTTCATGCATTTAGAGATGCAGTATATATATAATTTTAAATGCTACCAGAAAAGTTTAATAGTCATCTATACCATATATTACACAAACATTAATATTTCCATACTTAAACATGTAAGTACCCACCTTAATTGGGCTTAAAAATTATAAATATATCTCATACTAGTTCAAGTCAGAGATCAGGTTTCGCTGCTAAATGAGTTATGAAAACACTTGTGGTTTTCAGTTCGTGGATCACATTTTAGACAAAAGACTTTGACCTGTATTTATTTAATATATAATCCAACTGAAGTTAAAGTAAGACAAAATCAAGAAACCAGCACTGAAGTCTGCTTTTCCTGAAATGACCTTAAAGAAAGCAAGCATTGCAAAGAAAGACAATACTTGAATACTGATTTTTATTATAACTCATATAAAGTGTTAAAAAGGAAAAAGACAAAAAGTTTCCTTACTTTGTCAGCAAAATGTTTGATGATGAAGGCTTTGTTTGACATACGGGGCTTCTCAAAGAGGGCACATTTGTTTAAATGTGTGTTGTACAGCTTTTGAGCCCAGGTATCATCTGTGCCTTTAGGCATCTTGGGGAGAAAAAAAAGAGAAATGACTGAGCACTAAGGGTCTTCTGGTACATCAGCAACAAGAGACCAGTTCCTATGTTCAACTAAGAATTCATCCTTCTCTTCAGCACAAATGAACCACCAATGAAGAGCATAGTTGAGGCCTTCCTGGGGGTGACCCAGCACATTTCAGTGATCATTTGCCTATGCCAGGAGTTATCAAATCAATATTTAATTTTTTAGCACAATAAAGGCTTTATAAGATAAAGATGAGCCGGGCGGTGGTGGCGCACGCCTTTAATCCCAGCACTTGGGAGGCAGAGCCAGGCGGATCTCTGTGAGTTCGAGGCCAGCCTGGGCTACCAAGTGAGTTCCAGGAAAGGCGCAAAGCTACACAGAGAAACCCTGTCTCGAAAAACCAAAAAAAAAAAAAAAAAAAAAAAAAGATAAAGATGAAATACAACTATTAGGCACACTTTTAATTTTTTGCTAAATAGAGGTAACATTTATACACAGTGAAATATTAATTTAATCCAGAAAGGTATGAACTGATAGTCTCCTCTTGCCATTTCTAGAAACTTTATTATTTTTTCCTATTTTAAGATATGTGCTTGAATGGGCTCCTTACACTTACACACACACACACACACACACACACACACACACACACACACACACACACTTATATATACTCCTTGCATTTTCTCCTCTTACTTATGGTCTAGGATGTTATTAACTTTTTGTTTTGATAACTGTCATATTCCTCTTAAGTACATACATACCTTCAATATATTTGCAAGTATACTTATAGGTTAAGCTCCCAGGTCAAAAGGCATGCATGTTTATGATTCTGCTTTCCTCTAAAATATCTGTATGAATTTTTACCCTTCATCAAATGTAACATGTAATATTTATTTAGTTTCAACAAAAGAAAGGTATCAAATTTAAAGTAACCTCAGGATACCATTTTTGCTTTGCTTTCATATTTTTAATCTCAAGTACAGATGAGTACTTATCTATCACATACATTCTTTTGTAAAACACACAATTTTTAATTTATTGTTATTGTGTGTATTTGAGGGCAAGTACATGTCATACCCTTTCACTGTTGGATCTGAGGATGGACTCAGGTTGTCATATCTGTATGGCAAGCATTTTTATCCACTGAGCCATCTCAGCAGTCCCACATATATTTTAAACACTAAGTATGGCACCTTATGAGGGCCAACACATAGTAGGTTGTGATTTCTTGTAGATAAACTGAAAGAAAATTAAGAAATAAGATAGATTTGCCTAAGGTCCTTCAGTAACAAAGTGAAGGATCTAATGATTTTCTAACATGCTGAATCTATAAATGTTAAAGACTATTATTTATGTCAGTAGCAAAGAGCAACTAGCCAATATTCAAAACTTACAGCTATTTAGAACTATAATTCAAAATAGTTTTTGTGCAATTTCTTGTATTTCTTTCAATATACCCTATTGCTGAACAAAAAACATTAAAGATAAAAAAATAAAAGGACCCCTTGGGGCCTAGTGTCTCTTCAGAATGAAAGAGCGAACCCGGCTCGTCACAGTGACGTCTCTTGTACTGCAGAGTCTCTGCTTGCACCCACTTGTGTAGCTGTGATGCATCTATCTTGACAGGCTAGAGTACTCCAGGAAATCATAATCACCTTACACTCCTCATCCAGCAAATCTAGAATGCCCATTTTAGATTCTATAAGATTGATACACGGCTGATTATCATAGAAATCTATGAGTGTCCATGGAATTTGTTCCTTCATATATTCCTCCTGTTCCAGTTTGAAGACATGCTGAAACAGAGAGAGCATGGCAGTCATTATCAGACCATATCATGAAGAATGTAATCAAGAAACACATGTCTATGGAATACCGAGGATACCAACATGACGAGACAGTTCATGGCCTCCAGCAACAACAGCAGCATGGAGAAGTGCGGCTGAAATCATGTACAGAAAACCTCAGCTCTAAGTATTCATCATGAACAAATATATCTAAGCATGTAAGTGTTTTGTTAATTTTTGTTATGTTTGGGACAGGGTCTCAGTATAGACCAGGTTAGCCCGAGGCTCTCTATGTAGCCCAAGCCAGCTTTGAATTTGTACTCTGCCTCAGCCTCCCAACTTCTGGGATTACAGACATTCATCACCACACCAGGCCTATAAATGATTTGAATAGTAGATAAATGCAACAGTCCATGTGACTTTTTAAATGTACATTTCCAAAACTGTGTCAAGTTTTTTTCCTGAACTTATTATACAGAACTCTTAACATGAGACACAAGAATGCCTCAATTGGCACTGATCAGCTATGCAGAATGAATGCCTTCCAGATTACTTAACAGCTAGGCAGTGATTTCAATGTAAAAAACTGATTTTTCCAAGTTGCTGTGTTCAGAAGTACAGTTGCCTTAGAATTAAATGACCGTTGTCCTTGTATATCTGCCTTGTTTATTCTTCCCAGACAAGGAGTCTCACGTTTCTGGAATGTATACTGAATACTGGAAGCATCTACAAGCACTACCAACCCACTGATCCTCTGCTAAAGGCTCCAGGCGCCATGTGCACCCCTGCTTCTTATCTCCATCCACTCTTTCATCAGCTTATATATTGAGTCTATACTCCATGGCCGCCACTGCGTGTGGTCAACAACACAGACATGGATGCCACACTTGTGAAATGGGAGAGAACTGGGATACATCAAATAGTCACAAAGAATAAAATTACAAAGGCTAATGATATGACAAAGGAGAAAACAAACGTCCTCATCTAGTCCGGGCAGGCTTCCCTGGGGAAGAGCTTGCCATCAAGTTCTGAGTATGAACAGACGCTAAGCCGGTCCAGGGGGGCAGAGCAATGAAACCACTGCCTGCACTTTGGCCTGCAGCTCCAGCCAAGCTGGCTGACAACATGGCCTCTAGGGATGCTAATGACCACTACCACCTTTTCAGTATTTCCTATTTCTTCTGGATCCTTTGGCTCACTCTTAATTGCTGTTTTTTTTCTTTCTAGAAAAAGTAGCTTTTTGTGGCTACTAACAATACCTATCTTCTAGAACCCCAAGTTTTAGAACTCTCTCTCTCTCTCTCTCTCTCTCTCTCTCTCTCTCTCTCTCTCTCTCTCTCTCTCCCCTTGGTACCTTCCCATTATATTTTATACTTATAAAAATATTATCTTAGTTCATTTACAGTAATAATCCCTGGTCAAAAAGATAATCCATATAATTCTTATAATTCTAATTAACAAATTCAGAGGGGCTAGAGAGATGGCTCAGCATTTAAGAGCACTTGTTGCTCTTGCAGAGGACCTGGATTCGGTTCCCAGTACTCACAGGTGGCTCACAACTGTCCATAACTGGTGAAAAACCAGTCCTGTTACTATGGAAAACCTTAAGGTTTTAAAATTCATGTCTACATTATTTCACTGTATCAAACAGCTTTACTTGTTAAACAAAGATGCTTTGTTTATCAAAGTACTTATAATATTTGATGTCAAATATCCTAAAAGCTTAAAACATTAGTCCCAAATGTACATAACCCCAATCTGTCTCTATGCAAATATTTTTAATTTTCTTTGCTACTTTTTTTAGTATTTTTTAAGAGAATATATTTGAAAAGTATGTATTTTAAAATAATATGCTTATCAGCTTTTTTTGACTTCTCAATTTGAAACTTTATTTTGTCTTTGTGTTCTCCATTTTATGGTCTTTATTCAGCAATATATACATATATACATATTGCTGAATACATATATATGTAAAAAGTTTTCATATCCCAGAAAATAAAGTTTGAAAACAAGTAGCATTTAAACATAGCATAGTATTCTATCATAGTTGAAACTTTTCTCTTCTTTAAATGGCTCAACAAAACCTAAAAATGAACTATGCTATGTCTAGTTTTATCTAATGCAATCATTTTTGTTCTCTCTGAAAATAAAACAAGATGTTTTCAGCAATCTTACTGTTTTTTACTATTATGACAATTTATGTACAAATTATTTTGAGGAAATTTATCATTCATTTCAGGCAAACAACAACAACAACAACAACAACTTTGTTTGAACTGGGTAATATGGTGGTGGCAAGTCTGTAATCTAGTACTTAGAATGCAGAGGCAGGAGGTTAGCTCGAAGCCAATATGGGCCACTTCCAAAATATGCCCAGTGCCATTGCCTCAGTGAATAATTTTTTTTATAGATTTATTTACTTATTATGTACACAGAAGAGGGTGCCAGATCTCATTACAGATGGTTGTGAGCCACCATGTGGGTGCTGGGAATTGAACTCAGGACCTCTGGAAGAGCAGTCAGTGCTCTTAACCCCTGAGCCATCTCTTCAGCCCCTGAAGAATTTACCCACTGAAAAGGATTTGGGAAATTCTGACATCTTGCTAGCCCAGTAAATGGTGGTGAAGGTGGTTATAACTCCATAGACTGCTGGCTTCCAAACAGCAAGCAGAAGGACTCGGTGGTAGCGCCTGCCCCACTTCTTGCCTCTCTCATTCAAATGCTCTGTTGCAAATGTTCATCATCGTCGATAAGGGATAGCTGACAAACGTTTTTTAATGATCCATCAATTTGTAAAGCTCAGTTCCCTGGCAGCTTCACTATTCTAAACCCACATAATAATTATAGTTCAGGAGTTTATTTCACAGACCACGCTTCTAACAAAGACTAAAAATTCAAACGTTTATAAGCAGAATTTTATTCAAGAAAGAAAATTCTTACCATGTTGAATTGTTGCTGTAGTTTTTCATTTGCATAATTTATGCAGAACTGTTCAAAACTATTTATCTCAAATGTTTCAAATCTGCAACACCAAAAAAGTAAGGTAGGAAGAAAAGAAAAAGAATACATAGCTTTTAAAAAATATTTAAAATATGCATACTTGGAAGAAAAAAATGGGAAGTTCCTTAACACTATCACATTTTATTTTCATAGCAGATAAAGGTTTGTTGGAAAGACAGAACATGATGAGCATCAGCTGAGACAAAGCTTCCCTCTGTGTGGCCCTGCCTACAGATGTGCAGTTGGGGTTTTTGGGTTTTTGAGGTTCAAAGGCCACAGCTCCTCTCAATGTTTACTACTAACATTACACACAGAGAAGGGGGTAGAAATAGTAATGTTATAGGCTCTTCTGAAACACCAAACCAGAGAGTGGAAAATTAGCTGCCAGTAACCAGATAAGGCAACTAGAAATTATATTTTTTAGAAATTCAATCATTTATCCTGAGAGTCTGAAACTACCTATTGGCTTAGTAAGTAGAATCTGGAGTTGAGCTAATTTTTGTTTAAGCAGTATTTAATTTTTTTAAAGCATCATTTTATCTCTATCATCAAAGACTCTTCTAAATGGTCATAAGTAGGATTTCCTTTCTTCTCCACTCGAAAACAAAATTAAACAGTGCTCCAAGTTACAAAAAACACTCCCAACAAACAACTGTTTTCCAGCAGGGTAGGGCAGGAAGCCAAATGCACTTACCCATAAATATCCAGCACGCCAATGAAAGAATGCTGCTTGACAGCAGAATGGAGAGCCTGATTGACATGGTCTACAATCCAGTTAAAGAGTTTGGCATAGATGTGCTTTGCTAGAGCATCTCGGGCATTTGTGGCCTGCAGCTTAGAAATGGGCTTGATGTATGTCTCTGTGGCAGTAGCCAGCTTTCGGTGGCAGAGCCAGTGACACATCTCTTCATAATCCACACCCATGAGGTCACAGAAGATGATAAGTGGCTCGTGCTTGGGCTGCCAAAAAAGAACGTGTTATTGCCTATGGCCAGACCAGTTAAAGAGTAAGTCCTGCAAAAGGAAGTCATATGGACATCAACATCACTCACACCTCATCAGTGAGATAATCAGAAGCATCCATAACCCAGCATCTGAATGTCACTTTGCAATCTCTTGTAGGGCTCATTTGAAACAAAGTAACTTTCTTGGTGCTTCATAGACTTGTCTGTATCTCTCTTAGGACATATTCAATCACTCAGTCAGAAATCTGTCAGCTAGTCAACAAATCTGTGCCAGTAAACAAGGACAGGCATGGCCCTGTGATGGTCTGAATGAGAATGGCCCCCAGTAGCTCATGTATTTCATTCAGTACTTGGACACCAGTTGCTGGGACTGTTTGGGAAGGATTAGGAGATGTGGCCTTCTTGAAGGAGGTGTATCACTGGGAGCAGGTTTTGAGGTTTCAAAAGCCCATGCCACTCCCAGTGCGTCTGTCTCTACCTTGTGCTTGTGGGTCAAGATGTAAGCTCTCAGCTACGGCCTTAGTGCCATGCCTGTCTGCCTGCCGCCATGTTCCTTGCTGTGACAGTCATGGACTCATTCTCCAAAACTGTAAGCCTCAAATAAATGACTTCTTCTACAGTTGCCTTGTTCATGGTGTCTTATCACAGCAACCGAAAAGTAACTAGGACAGCCCCTTCCCACCAAGTGCTTGCAGTCTTCAGAGGAAGTAGATATTACTGACTGCTTCTTGAAATGTGAAACACCACAAAGAGGCAGACACTGTGCTGAGAGTCCACATGGGGCGTTCACTCTGTCCAGCAAGGCAGGAGACATAACCTGAGACCATAGATTAGAATATGAAAGAACAACAGGTACTTCTTGGTCAAGAAGAAGAGGAACATTGTCTAAGTTGCGGGGAACACGAGGAGAAAAACAATTCTGTAATAGGAGGGAAACTAGCAAGAAGAGGACTGAAGCTAAGTAAAGCAGAAAATACGTAAAACGAAGCTACAAAGACCATGGCTGGCCTTTATCCTCAGGCCACCGAAGGTTTGAACTAGACAGTCTGATGTCACTTGAGGGACTGTTTGGATTAGAATTCTTTAATGATCAACATATCCCTGGATAATACCTTACATGTTTTCTGTGGACCTTATCTGAATGGATGTTTGATAAATACTTGTCTTGTTTAATCCACATCAGTGTGTTTTATTTTCCCCTGTCTTCATATGCATCAAATGACATTTGACAACATTCTTGGGGAATGGGCAGGGTATACATTTATTTCTCATTGAAAAATGAGGAAATGGGATCCAAAAGAACAAACACCTTGACAACAATCACATGGCTAGTTTATATCAGCATTGCCATTAAAACCTGAGTTTCCTGATGCCCTCACCCCTGGACCCTTCCCAGTCAAGCAGCCCTTCCCTGACAGTAATCGTTTCAGATACACATCAGTGTCTTGACTGACAACAATACTGATCTCTAAGGAGTGATATGTGCTACAGCATGGAAAGACTTTGAAAGACCACATACTCAATTTACATCAGTGTCCAGAAAGGTAACTCTATAGAGGCAACAACACATGACAGTTTGAGTCGAGGAGTTGGGGACAAAGTTGGCAATAGGCAAGGGGTCCAGGCTTCGTTCTGAAAGTATTTTAAACCCTCTGTGGAGATGGCTGCATATATCTATGCGCATACTCACAACCATGCATTGTTGGTAGTAAATAGATTGTAACTCAATAAAGCTGCTTTTGGAAAAAAAATAAACAACTGGTGCTAGGTATGATTATTCAGATCTGTAATCCCAGCACTCAGCAGGCTGAGGCAAGGGGATTGTCTCAAGTTTAAGACCAACCTGGGCCACCAGGCAAGACTCTATCTTAAAAAAAGGGGGGGGGGCTAATATTTCCTTAAAAGAAATTAAGGGTTTAAATCAGAACCCCCATTTTGTCTTTAAAAAAAAATAGTAGGGCTATGGAGATGATTCAGTCTGATGACCCAGGGAAAAAGCTGGATGGGCGGCCATCATCTGCAATCCCAGCACTCCATGATGGAATGGAAAAGCAAAGACAGGAGAACTGGCCAAAGGCTCCCAGCCTAGAGTGCCAGGAGCAGGCAGCAACAAGAGAGACCTTGTCTCAACGGGGTGAAAGGGGAGAACCAACTCCCAAAAGTTGTTCTTTGGATTCCACATGTGTGTGTCACATATATGCCAACACACACACACACACACACACACACACACACACACACACACACACACACACACACACACACTGGGGCTAGAGAGAGAGAGATCAGCTGTTAAAAGTGCTTGCTACACAATTATCAGGACTGGAGTCTGGGTCCCAGCATTCAAATAGCAAGCCAATCATGTAACTCTCGCTCTGAGTTAGCCAATGCCCCCTTCTGGCCTCTGTATACACACAGGTTTGTTGTGTACCTGTGTGCTTATGCATGTGCACAAACATACAAGGTAAAATAATGAATAAATAAATGAAAAACTTAAACCTACTGTAGGTCTAGGGAGATGGCTCAGTAGGTAAAGTGCAAATTTGACCCCCAGAACCACGTGTCACAAACACAGTCCTTGCCTAACATGTGCGGAGCCCTAGGCTCTATCCCCAGCAGTAAAACAAAGCTAACAGACAGTCCACCCTCACATTAGCTCGTTGTGAACTTACAGGTATTGTGCAGCTGTCTGAATCTCGAGATGCAAATCCAACATTGCCTAAGTGAAGGATGCCAGCAAGTATTCTAAAAATCCCCATTTGGTAAGATTCACTAATTCCTGGAATATAGCAAATAAACAAGCAATTTATGGCAGACTAGCAACAAAGTAATTATAAGAGAAGTTTTGTTTTTTTTTTTTTGCCCAGGGGCTCACTATGTAGCCCTGGCTGTCCTGGAACTCACTTGGTAGCCCAGGCTGGCCTCGAACTCACAGAGATCCACCTGCCTCTGCCTCTTGAGTGCTGGGATTAAAGGCGTGCGCCACCACCGCCCGGCATAAGAGAAGTTTCTAAGTCTAGTATTAATTCTTGAAAATTGCCAGATGTGCATATTATATACATAGTCACATATAACAATACTTTTATCTTTGTTGACAATACACACTAGGCAGTTTCGCATTGTGGGTTGTAGAGTATACCTGATCTGGTTTCATGTCCTCCACTGCTACCAACCTGCTACCTCCACAGACAGGTAACTTCATCCATCTATGCTTTGGCTTTCTCATTTGAGATAAGGAGATAATTCTTCAAAGAGTGTTTGAACATTAAATGAGATAGTACACAGAGTACACCTGGGACACGTTAGGTATTTAAAAAGTGATCATTAGGTATTTTAGTGATATATAGGTATTTTATTAGTATTATTGCTACTATCTATCCCTACCCCAAATAGATATTGCAGCTCAATAAGGCTGATTTAAGTTGGATTATTGAATTACTTCTAAGTATAGGTTAATTAGAAATTAAAGAGATCCCAAGATCAGAAACATTTAGATGGTTTTATATTCCAAGCTAATAAGTGAAAGTCCAAACACAGAATAGAACAGGACCTAAATGATGTGGTGAGGTTAGAAAGTTGGATACTTTCTGGCTTTTAACAGATCTGGTTTCATTTTCTCAGTGAAGAAAATAAGTTCCAGAATATTAAACATAATTCTATAAGTAAAAGTAGTAAAATTATTTTCAAAACATTTTTCTATAAGGCAATTGAGAATTTACCTTATGGTGAATAGTTTTGCTATCTCCTACATTACATAATGGTCCTCCCTCCCTCCCTCTCTCCCTCCCTTCCTCCCTCCCTCCCTTCCTCCCTCCCTTCGTTCCTTTCTTTTTTTCCTTTTTGGCTTTTTTGAGACAGGGTTTCTCTATGTAGCCCTAGATATCCTGAAACTCACTCTGTAGACCAGGCTGGCCTTGAACTCACAGATTCTCTTGCCTCTCTGCCTCTTGAGTGCTGGAATTAAAGGCACATGCTACCACACCCAGCACTGTACTAGCTTTTTTAAATTCTTTAAGGAGAGCAGTGTTCTCTTAATATGTTCATAGATCACTGGCAGGCCATATCTTTGTGAGGTGGTATGAAAGTCTACATTTTTAGCAAGTCCTACAGTGGTTCAGGACCTAAGCTCTCTTGCTTGATGGGATGTCTCTAAATACTAAAATACAATATTTGAGTTACTTCTATTCTGAGGTTTTATAAAAAGATGGTGGGGGGGAAGGACACCTTTAAAAGTTGTATGACTCTAAATATGAACGGATTCATCTGTGGACTTAACACTTTCAAATCACAGAGAGAACAGTGGCATCTGTTTCAAAAACACGAATAATGTTATGTACATGCATGAAATTCTCAAACAATAAGTGATTTAACAACTCCTTTATTAAAGAACAGCAACAAAAAGAAAACATTAGATACATGTGTTATGTCACCATGCCAACTTAGTTATGCTTCTTAGCTACAAAAGATCCTGAAAATAATAAGAAAAACAACAAGAGCAAAACCCTGCCCTGGGCATTGTGACACATTGCCCTCCGTCCCAGTACTCAAGAGGCCAAGGCAGAAGGATCAGAAGTCCTAGACCAGGCTGGGGTACATGGTGAAAACCTATCTCCAAAAATTACCAACAAATAAAAACAAAATAACCCAAACAAGCAAGGCCCCAACCAACCAACCAACCAACAAAACCCACAGTTTATATAAAAAAAACCAACCCACTTGATTTAGTTTCAAACCCTAGATTTTTGTAAAAATTTGAGCTGAAAGCTAATCTTAACTCTCCTCGTGCTGAAATACGTTTTCAAGGTGCAATTCAATAATCCTCAGTAAATTTCCAAGGTTGAGCAACTGTTACCACTATCTAATCCTGGAACCATCCTAAGAAACCTCACGCCCACTTGTCTGCGCATGTTCCATACATATGAACTCTCCCAGCACTGTTTACCAGTTAACACAAAGCCAAACCAATATTCCAGACAAAGGCTACTTTGTCAATGACCAGCACCTATAGAGTTCAGGAACGAAAGGACATTACCCAGCAGAGTGCAGGCCTGCCTGGTGTGCGACATCTCCTTCGCATCATCCACTCCTTCGATCATAGGGCTGCCTCCTTGCTTTGTGTAATGAAAACTATCTGCGTTTCCTGCAGTGAAGGAGGTATAAGGTTTTAGTCCATGAGGAGAAGCTTGGACTTCCACCCTTACAAACACGCTGGATTACAGGCCATGTCAGCATGCTGGGACACAGGGTTTGGAGTCTGCCCAGGTTAAAATCATCCTAATGTAAGATCCAAAACTAAAATGTTTGCAGATTTTATGTTAATTGGCAAAATAAATTATACTTTCTTTGGGTTTAATTCCAAACAAAATGCTAGAATATGTTTCCTCAAACTCTTCCATCACAGCCGTTTTTAAACATGTATAAAAGCAGAGAGGCTGGAACGCCAAGTCCATCCACTCCTCACCTGCCTTAGCCGACTGCCACAGGGCATCCTGTCCCTGACATGGCCACTCACCCCACCCGTGGGATGTTCTAAAGCCAGCTGCAGACCTTCAGGAAACATTATTTTCATAAGTATTTTAGTGTGAAGTAAGGTATTTTTGACAAGCTTGAGAACTCAAAATTTAACAGAAAAGAACACCAATATAATAAATGTAGTGTCATTTCCATACCTAATCGCAGCATTTTAAACTCAGGTAGCTTTGCTGAAGCACAGAGCTGGTAGAAGATATGGTAGTTTCTCTCCTCTTCTGCCTTTGAAGTAAGAAGAGCTTTCAATTGTGGCATTTTAATATAAAATCCAGGAAAACCTACTACAACATATAATCTTAATATTTAACTATCTCAGTAAATTCCCACATTTTCTAATACTGATTTAAATAATTAAACCTTATGATTTATACTATATATACAAAGTAGGAGGAGAGCTTGAGACTTAAAACTTGAAGTCAGGCTGGGCAAACAATGAGGCTCTTCCTCTTGAAAAATAAAAAATAAGCAAGTATAAATGTGTTAGTCATGTTCAGTATGAAATACCAGCTAGCAAGGTTTTAGGGTTTGGGGAATTATAGACTAAACTCAAGGCCTCAGACATGCCATGCAAGTGTTCCCTACCACTGCACTGTACCTCAAGTCCAGTTTAACTGTATTTGAGAGAATCTCACTAGACATCCTGTCTGGCTCTGAACTGCTTTGTAGATCAGACAGGCCTTGAACTTGTGAGTCTTCTGATTCAGCCTCCTGAGAGGCCTGTACCACTGTGCCCAGCTTAGTAACGCTTTCTGAATTAGTGAACGGCTTGAGAGATGGCCACAATCACTAGGCGCCAGTGATTCTGGGGAAGCTGAAATGATTTTTTTCAAGGCTCACCATTATTTTCTACTAATAACTTCTAGATTCATGGTATTCCTAATACTTTGACTAAGTGAGAATAATCTTATCTTTGCCATACTTTAGAGATAATGATCTCTTATATAACTGTAATAAATATACAAATGCACTATATTCTCTCTATATATAAATATATATTATATACTTTGCATTATATAACATATATATTTTCCTATTAACAATAATTTGATAAAATAAAAAATAATTTATAATGTAGGGTCAATTTTTAGTATTTCCTTAGTCTTTTTTCCACACACATCTAGAGTATAGTTGCAAAAGTTACTGTGCATATGAAGCTGAATACTAAAATCCAATCAACAGATTCTTAGATTTTGGAGTATATTCGTGTGAATAAAGATTGGTATTAATAACGTTAACTGGGGGGTTCTGAAGCCTAAAGGGGTCAATGACTACTGCAGGGACACAGGACACTGAACAAACATACCAATGATCACAAGCATGATTAGGTAGGAGATCAGGTGGTTCAGCACACAGAAACTAGAAAAGCAGGTGGGTCTGCAGAAACACCGTGGTCATCTTTGTACAGAATGGCTAATACCTAGCATACTTATTTTGACTGTGATTCACTTGATATAACAAACATTCTCAGTGTTCTATACTCCTGAAGACTGGGGAACTGCTAGACTTACTACCACACCTATAGATAAGATAAAGATTAAGCTTTACCAAATTCTTCATTAGGCAGTCTTAGCCACTGGTCTACATACTGACTAAGGTCAACTTCCTACCTGTGTTACCTTTGCTCACAGTCCTACAAATTTCTTTTTTTTAAGATTAATTTTATTTTATGTATATAGGTGTTTTACCTGCATGTCTGTCTGTGCACCACATGTGTGCCGTGCATGTAGAGGCCAGAAAAGGTGTTGAGTTCCCTGGGACTGGAGTTATAGACAGTTGGTAGAGACCATATAGGTATTGGGATTTGAACCCAGGTCCTCTCTTAACCTATGAGCCATTTCTCTAGCCCCGTGTTCTTATGTATTTCTGCGCGTTCTTAACCTATCTACATTTCACTCATTCTTTCTTCTCACGACTGACTATTTTTAAAATCTTATATAAGTATTAATGTGTGGAACAGTACTGTTGTTTGTAACTTAAAAGGAAGGTGGTTATTGCCTTACTATACATCTCAAATATTACATTTTAAGTTTATACATATCAAGTGTTATAATTTAAAATTAAATATTTAATCAGGCACAATCCCAAAGTCGAGGTTCTTGGCTCCCCCAACTCATGCCTCTTGATGTATATGAGATCATTTCAAAGCTACAACAGACTTTGGCAACAGAAGATTGGATCCTGCCTGAATTTTAATGACGTGGCATCCAGCACATGGGCCATGGAAACTCTGGGTCTTAGGATGAGGCATGCAGTGGGTTACCAGGAGCCACATACTGCTGTTTTCTGATGATAATCTACAGTCCCCAATGCGCCCGCCTACAACGTGTAGATGTGCACCTGCTAGTGCTGCAAGTGTACAGCTTGTCTTTCCATCAGAAAGGAACAGCAATGTAAGTGCCAACAAAAATTCTGTACGAACGTTCAACTGTGGTGTGATGGCAGTTTGCAGCTGGGTTATGGCAGACTGTTTTTTAGCTCTTACTGTGGCAAGAGAACAGGGTCTGGGCTGAAACATCAGGTTAACAGGAGGAATGCCAGTCTGCAAAAGAGGGCTGGAAGCTCTTCCTTACTGGTCTTCTTCTAAAGAGCATGCTCACAAGAAGCCCTGCCTATTCAAACTTGGAAGCGGTCTTATGTAAATAGTCTGTAATGGATCCGGGCCACATGGCCCAGTATTTGTTGGGCTCTTTCCTTAGCTCATTAGCCCACTTCCATTCTTTGGATACTTTTCCTTTCTTAATGAGCTGTCTGTTTCTATTTCTAACCATGTGTCCCTTGACAATCCTTTGCTCTAGGGTACAAGATCCTAGAACTGGGTACCTCTGAACTCAGATGAGACTCAGCACCCCTAAGCATGTTTTTCCTTATATTCTAGGCCTTGTCTGACCTCCAAGCCTAGCTTAAAAGGCCTGACTGTTCTCTGTTTTCCCTCTTCCTGGTGACTGCTGGGATTGTGAGCTTTCCTCTATTGTTGTTTTACTTCCAAACTTTAGTAAAATTATCCTCAAGCACCTGAATTCATTTTTAAATTATTTTATCAATAAGACTAAGAACTCAAAGAGACTTCCCTCTCTCAATTTCTCTGGTAACATCACTATTCTACTCAAAAAAAATTTTTCATATGCTAAGATTAAAAAAATGCTTTCTGCCGGGCAGTGGTGGCGCATGCCTTTAATC